TTTTACTTCTTTTGAGGAAGGAAACATGTCCATCTGTTTCTTTTGAAATCTCTGTACTTCTAATCAGGCATATATTTACTTTTACTTATCTTTTAAAAAGAAGCCACAGACATACCCAGAGACTGAAGGTACATTTATCCCATGAGTGCCCAAGTCCTATTACCTACATGTTATGAGTGCTCCTAGCCAAAATAATCCCAGGAATGTAACAGTAGGGTTTGCATGAGGCAGATGCCTGCCTGCCATTCTCTGTCATTTTGCTGGCAGCAGAACTAAAGGTCTTGCATAACACAGTGTTTCCAAGAGGCTTTGGTTTTGTTTTCCAACAGTGTGAAGTGCTTCGTGCATCAGTCATGGCTTTAAACAACTGGACCCTCTGAGTGGTTCCAGCATGGCCCTGTTTAGGAGAATATTTTTATTCTAGGTTTGATGTAATGTGGAGACTACTGTTCTTGACATTATGGCAAAGAAAATAAAGCATCAATATTATGTCAATATTATATCAATACTTTGGCCCCAAATAGTCTCATTCAGATGAAACAGTGATGGTATAAACTTGAATGAGCACTTAGCTGTCTGACTTTCATATTTCATGACAGCTCTTTGCTTTGTGGGCTTCCTCTTCCACTAAAATCAAAGTATTTTTTCCACTAATAAGATCACTTCCCTCCATAGTAAGCACAAATCATGAAAGTCCTCAGTAAACACTGTGTTCTGACTGAGATTCTGCCTTTTTAATTTCTCTCATGAAAATGGAATATACTCAATCAGATTAACACTCATGAGTTCTTTCTTAACATCCGTGAGATCTTTCACAAAGAAAGTTGTAATGGGGTCTTCACATCCTTTGGCATTAACGAAAGGTAGATCAAACTCTCTCTGAAAACCTTTAGCAGATCTCAGACCTTTCAAGAACTGGAAATTACTCCCAGTTTTACCACAAACTCAGAAGGAGAATAGGCATTTTCCCAAGAAGGACTATGGGATGGGTTTAAGGCTGACTCCTGATGTTAGAAGTCTCAACTGACTCCCAGACTGGCTGTTCAAGGCCACCCCCCAAGGCATTGCACCATCTACATCTCTTCCTGGATCATCTCCCATGCCACCGCATGTGGGGGCCAGTCAGAGGCACTGGGTGTCTCCACAGGGTCCTGCACAGCCCCTGGCAGTCCACACAAGAAAGACGTCACCCTTTCCGAGAGGTGATCTGGACATGCAGTCACACTGAAGTTAGATACCTATGTCTTCTGGAAGGCTTTCTGTCTATTTTCAGTTCAAGTAGTCCCTTGTCCCCATCTCCCCTTTTCCACAGTGACTGACAGGCAGAGCATCCCTGCTTGGAACCTCTTAACAAGCTGCGGGAGAAAGAAGCCAGCTGGCGTTTCTCAATATCCCAAGCTCACCCTCACTTCCTTTCATTACATCTCTACCTGTTATACTCTTCTAGGATATAGGAAAAAAATGCATTAAATATGGTTTGGCTAGCACTCCTGTCCAGTCCTTCCACCATCTGCAGCCTCCATGGCCTCCCAGAGATCTCACTACAGATGTGTGAATAGGGTCTGCAAAACAACTTCCTCGCAACCGAGATTTGTACGCATTCACACACTGCAGACCTGTGATGTGTGTTTTTCAGAGCCACCTTGCATACCTCTTTCTCTTTTCATTTTCTTTGTTTGTTTGTTTACAAATTTGCTTTTATCTTTCTACCCATGCCTGAATGCATCAAAACTTGCCCCACTTCAAAAAACTCTCAAAGCCCATAGACAGTGTCACTTAGTGGCCTAGATTTTGTGTATTTTGAAAAAGATGTTATAGAAAATGAGCGTTGGGTAGAGTTGAAAAGACTGTATTTGCACATTAGCTTGTATATGTTTGGCTGTCCATCATTGTACTAGCTTGCCAGAATATATAAAGAAACTCTGATCTGAACAGAGTTCGATTTAAACATCATCTGAAGTGCTTTGTTAACAGAGGACGTACCACAGCTCGGTCTTTGCTGACCCTGTGCCAAAGTGCTTTGCAGATAAATTGCAGATTAACATAATGTCTCTGGTGAGCTTGGAGCATTTTTCTTCTCTTCCGTCCTCCCACTTCTCAAGCAGAGTCTGCTGGTACCTTTTCTGGTACTTTTAGCTATCATCATAGTCACAGTGGACATGAATTGTCAAGGGGAAGCATTCCTCAGAAGCTTTCAGACTCAAAATTCATCTGATCTCCTCAAGGTGCGTGTTCCTACCTGGAATCCCTCTAATGCAAATACTGCCTGGTAACCACAAGTGGGCTCCTGCCTGGGATGTGAAAGCTGCATCGTGTCCAAAGGGCCTCCCAGCTCTCCAGAACCATTTTTGGGTGATGCTACTGTCACCAGTGGCGGTGCGTTCTGCTCTGGCTGAAGCTCCGCAGATCACGGGTGAGGGTCTGACCTGACCGAAAGAAAGAGAAAAAGAGGGAAGGAGGGAAGGAGGGAAGGAGGGAAGGAGGGAAGGAGGGAAGGAGGGAAGGAAGGAAGGAGGGAAGGAAGGAAGGAAGGAAGGAAGGAAGGAAGGAAGGAAGGAAGGAAGGAAGGAAGGAAGGAAGGAAGGAAGGAAGGAAGGAAGGAAGGAAAAGAAAGAGAGAGAGAAGGAAAGAAGGAAAGAAGGAAGAAAGAAAGAAAGAAAAAAAAAGAAAGAGAGAGAGAAAGGAAAGAGAAAGAGAAAGCAAGCCTTATTTTTATGATGACCTGCTTTTCTCTGTGGCCACAGAGTTGTTTGTGCGCTTTACAGTAGTTCCAGAGAGGACCAAAAGCTGCGAGCTGTCAGGCTGTGCTTTCCTTGGAAAGCAACAGCTTTAAAATGAGAAGCAGACAAGAAAAATAAAGACAGGCCAAAAACATGCAAATAGGGAGCTCTTGATAGGCCAGTCCAGTTACTTGTTGTTTCTCTTGTGTGGATGATTCTCCTTTATATATATATTTTTTATCTGTGTGTTTTACTGTAACTCCACTCTTCCATAATACCTGAAAACTTAAATCGTGGACTTATAATGTACATTATTTGTTTTATGTTGATGCAAAAGTTCAGGACAATTTGATATATAGAGGGATACTTAGAACATTTCATTGTAAGCTTTTGTTTTTCAATTTCAGTTTAGGAGAAGAGCTAAATTACTAAATCTTAAGCAATGTGCTTACCTAACTTATCACTATCAGCCATTCAAACACTTAAAATCAAAAAGGAATAGACAGTGGCACTGGAAGAGGAATGTTCTTCGCATAATCAGCAAATCTGTCTCTGGTTGACTGGCTATCAGTGCAGATTTCATCACATTTATTTACATAATGCCCAGTCCTATATCTAAGCTTTCTATTTTCCTGCACTTTCTGCTCAGGCATGCCCTAAACACATCCAACTAGTAAATGGATTTTTAATACTGCCAGATCTAAAATGTCCCTCAGAAGTGACAGAACGCAAAGTTGAATGGAAAGCGGATCTTACAGTGTATAGGGGAAGCTTTACCTCTTTGACATAGTCTAGCTCTTAGGAGAAGATGTCCTCTCATTGGTACCTCTCCCACATGCATCAATTTGGGTATTTTGCCAACTCAGGAGATGGTAGATGACTTTTTTTCCTGCCTACGGACATATTTCCTATGAAAATACTTGGAGCATCTTGGAGCTGCAACCGAATTTTTCTGAACTTGATATGTTGATATGTTTTGCAGAGGAAGAATCTTAGTGTAAGTGTCAGTAAACATGGGGAAAAGAAAAAAAAAAAGCAAGATGCAATTCTTTAGGAGATAAACTAGCAGGAATTTCTGCTCGAACCCCGCAGCCCTGTTCTTACTATCCCACCTTTCCCTCAAAGTGCCGTGGGAAAATGTGGAAGCAACTGGGATGCAGCGACAAGCCATGACTGTAGTAATAGCAGTGCAAGGTGCCAGCAGCGATGGCTCCTTCAGGAGGGTGGTGAAGCTCTGTGCTCTTTGCAGACATGGCATCCTTTGGAGAAACACATGCCACGTACCCGGTTAGGAATCACACTTTTCAGGCACATTCTTGGAAGATCTCAGCACAAGCATGAGGAGGCGGTTTGAAATGACTACATATGTCTTCTTGATATATTTACACTCCAGGGACCACCCACGTCATAGAATGTGTTTAAATTGTTCCAAAGCTCTCTTCTGGAGTCAGGGTGAAATTACTGATTCTCTTATCCTGGAACGCAAAAAGTTAAAAAAACAGATTTTGAATGATTATTATTACGAAGGCTTTTTTTTTTTAAAAAAAAAAGGTTCTATGTTTTAAGAGCTTTCAAGCAGTGAGGGAGAAATCTTTGCACCTCTTCAATGCATTTCACTGCTCGTTGCTTAACCCTAGCTTGTAAAAATTGCCTAGAGGTAAAAACAAACTCATATTTTTCTGTGAGCTAATTTAAGCAAGCTGAACAAAGACTACAGAAAGGCAGGAGAAAAAGCCCATTAGAAAATATGCATTGTTTTCTATGCTTATATGACAACAAACTCCTTGCACCTTGAGACAAAATGTTTTAGTTTTAATTGTTTTGGTCAATGTCAATTTTACATCAAACTTTCAATAAGGTAAAAAAGGCCCATGGGAAATACCAGTGATTCTTATTTCGATCCTCTGTATTGCCTGTGTAAATATCTACTGCTGTTTTGTAAGTTCAAAACCAAATGGAGCAAAACTTTTCCTGTTATAGACAGTATTGACCTGTCAACATTGAAAATGTAAAAATTGTTTGCCACTGAGTTTAATAACAATAATCATCTCAAAATCAATTACTACTGTAATAAACATTTCCCCTTAAGCACTTATAGTAGGAAATGAATTAAGAATTAATTGCCACTGCCTAAGGAAAAAAAAAATATATAAGGACAATGTCACTTGTGCAGTTACTGGATAAATTTTACTTTCTTTTTATTTAAATTATTAACTCTTTGAATAACAAAAAATATAGCATTTTGGCAAATTATAATTTATTCAACTGCTCGCTTTGCAGAATGCTAGAAGATGACCTCAAGTTAAGTAGCGATGAAGAAGAGAATGACCAGGTAAGACCCAGACAACTGATACATAACTTGCAGAATGTTTCATGTTGAGCCTAGGTTACTGCAAATATTTTGCTAATGCTTTTTTTTTTTCAAAATATACATAAAGGTTATCAAAATACATGAAAGTACAGTAAATGGAGTAGCAGATGTTCTTGCTTTATGCCAGACTACATGTGCTAACTGCTGTATTCGTGGGGAATGTTCTGCAGTGGTCTTGATTTATGACCTTAATGTAACCCAGAAGGTTTTTGTATCAGTCTCCTTCTGATTTGATAGTTTTTTTTCTGTTTTGTTTTAAAGAGCAGCCAAGCAAGGGAGAAACAGCAATTCTGTTTTAAGGATTCAGGCCAAAAACCTTCAAACACAACTGTCTAAAGTGGGGCCCCGGAGAGAAGCCCCTGGGTCACTTAACGTACTGAAAGTCTCATTAGCATCCCCCAGCTGTCATCTCTCCCATGGGCGTTTCAAGTCCCTGCCCTGTGGCCTGTACATACTAAGAAAGCTAAAGGCATTTAACAAAATCTTCCATTGTGCCTTTGTTTCAATCTGTAATCCAACAACTGGGGCACTTGCCTGGAGTTTAGGTGCTCACTAGGTGAGGAAAATTAGGCGCTCACTAGACGAGGACCTTGGCTTTCCCATGGCCAACCAAGTGCCTGGCTGCCCTGCAGTGCTCTCACATGCTCTTCCTCTCACTCTCACAATATACGGGCACAGATGTAGAAGTGCTGAGCAGACAGGAGTGCCTTCGCTTCCTCCTTGCATGAAAATTCATGTCCTGTGCATTCTCCAAAGTGCATGGATAGATGGAAATCCTGACACCAGTTGCACAGCTGCTCCCAACCTTTGTAGACCACAAATGGATCCAGTGTTGGATGTAACATGGTTTTCAAATGTGACTATTTCAATCAAGGGCAATTGTAGCTATACACCATTCCAAAATTCAGGATCTACGTCAGAATATTCTAAGTAATAATTCCTGAAACTGTTACAGTTGTTTCTTTTTAATTCTCTTTACCACAAGTTTGCATTTAACATTATATTTCAAACAGCTGGTAAGTCAAAACCTTTTAATACTCGTAGTAAACTACTATTTCATCTGTTTAGTGGTGTTAAGAAGATTCTGCACATGGATTCAATTATTTACATATTTATACAATTTCTCTGTTTAATATATTTCATCCTGAAGCACTTCACATTTAATTATTCTTCCTGCTTGTCTAGATAGTTTAAAATACAGCCCATAGACAGAGTAGGGCAAAGTAAAGTGAAGAACAGAAGGGACGTCTGAGGAATAACAATAGGGCACAAAGGTGCTGAGGTGCCTGGCATGTGGGACTGAGCGTTAGAGGAAAAAGAAGATTATTGGTATTTTTAGGCAGAAACGAGATAGTGGGAAAGTTCAGCCGTTTGGGCATGCGTGCATGGTATCTTAGCTTTAATGCCATGTCTTACAACTATTAATATCTTTCCTGTGCTTGGATCGCTAGTAATATGTACACTATGCAAGGGCTTCATTCAGTAATTAGAGCTTTACGTACACCATATTTAGCCAGGGTCTCTGTGCTCAAACAAGCTCTCCAGAGGCCAAAATAGATTTTGCCACCAGAGTGGCAACTAGAGCACAACTGGGCTCAAATTTCCCAATTCTAGTCATTGGAAATGGCAAGGCGAACAATCTTTAAAGATAATGTGACTTGATCTCCTGTCTGTAAAATGGGAATAATCATGTTTTTTTCCTGATTTGATTCTATAGACAAAAATTTCCTTGAGGCGTGGGCTGCTCCATTCTATTTAAAATGCTTTGCAGAATCTCCACTGCAGCTTGCAGGCTTGTTTAACAAATATATAACTGTTAGATGAAGAAAGTAGTAAGTTTTCTCTACCTGACAGGAAATAGACTCCAAAAAAGAATAACACTGACCCATTCTTCTAGCTAGGATTGCCACATGGATCTGTGTTTAAATGTGAATGGAGGAACCCACTTTCCCTTTGCTTCTTAATTATGAGGCTCTTTAATCTCAGATCTAAATTGAGGAAGAGGAAAGAAAGAAACTAAAGTTGAGGGTATGAGAACAGTACATGAGTAATTCCCAGATACTCTTTACATAATTAGTTAACCTCTGAGTAGTCATACTCATTTAAGTAGTTCAGTTGTTTAAACAGCTGAAGAAGAACAGTGCAAGATTTAGCAAGCTTATCTTTTTTCCTGATTACTAAAGCAGAAGGTTTTGAGGAGAGGCTTAGAAAGCTTAGAAGATGATTTTGTATTTTCCTTCAAAATTGCCAAGAAGCAAATGGAAAGTTTCTGAAGTCGTGCAGAGGGAGACAGGTGCCACTCTTTTCCTAAGGGCAATATTTGGAGGGCCATGGCCGGCACAGGGAATGTGAGCCATGGATGACGGAGGGCAAGTGCAAGACAGACACGTGGTCGGGAGCTGCGGGACCGCAGTGGGCAAGCTGTTCTCAAACGCTCCCTCTATGCCAGCAATTAAGGTAGGGAGATTCACAGGCCCAGAAGAGGCAAAAGAGACTGGGGTTGGGCTGAGCGTGTGTGTGTGCCCACAGTAATTGCATTATCCACACATATTAGTCTCTTAATTTTAATTACATAAATGTATTTTTCCTCTTTAATGAGCATAGTTTATCCATTTAAACTGATCGTTTTAATTTTACAGGCAGTGATCATAGGATCTAATATGCAAAGGGAAAATTTCCTGTTGGCATATTTTACATCATACAGATTGAAGAAAATATACTTTTTAATCCCCAATCAATATCTGAAGAGCATGCAATTAAGAAACACCAAGGTAGTTAACATAAATCTGCAAGTTAAAGAGCCAATTCATTTTGATTTATAACACAGAGAGTAATAATTTTGCCATCATCTCTCCCAGAAAGCATCTGAAGCTCTGCAGCATGAAGATGTCAAAATTGTGCTTAAGATTGTTCGAAGTACTGAATTGTAGTGGTTATTGCCTTTTGGTTCCTTGAAGTGTGGCATAGCACATGAAAGAGTCCGCATTATAATACCCTGCTCTTCACTGCAGAGGTCACTGGATAACTTAAATCAGTCTTGGGTGAAATATTAAAAGGAGATTGTCAATTGTAATACGAACAATTCTCTTTTTCCCCCTACTTGTCCTTTTACAACATGAAAATTCTATAATGGAAAGCAGTTCATTTAAGGGGGAAAAGATCCCTCAACTCATTTGTGCAATTCATGTCAATCAATAGCCAAATAAATTAACTGGTTGGTACACATACATGGAATAATAATCTAACATATTTTTGCAACCCAAGTCTGCTTCCTTGCATGCATTTTTTCTGCGCAGGATCAGGTTGGTTGCCGCTGAAGTTTTGTGGCTGCGAAAATTTATTACCCACCAAGTCAATCTGCATTCTGGCTGCCAAGTCTGAATAAATAGAGTCATTGTGCTTGTCTGGAATATGTAACCAAAGTTCATCCAGTCAGCTTGACTTTCACATCCCAGGAGATTCATAAAAGCCAACACCCTGGTATGTGCTCTTGATTCCTGCCCAAATTTTGTGAAATTGTATAAACAGAAGTTGAAGAAGCAATCAGAACACACTCGCAGGGATAGGGCTCCAAGCTCAAGTCCCTGCTGTATCTCAAAAGGAAAGACTGAGCTTTAGCACTCTTTTTTAAAAAATAAATAAATAAGCAATCAGATGATTATTGCAATGCCACAGCAGGTAAACGCTCAGGCTAAAAACTGCCCCCTAAGGAGCGGGAGTGTCAGGGAGACCCTGCAGGGTGTCCCACGGCATCAGTAAAAGAGGGCCCTGACCAACAGCAAGCCAAAGCAAGCAGAGGCTTTGTCCCCGTCCAGGAGACCCCAGGAGCAGAGCGGGCTCAGGAAAGCTCAGGAGGAGCAGCCCCAGGTTGGGAAAATCCAGATTCCCCAGAGCCCAGCCTGGCTTCCCCCCACCATGCCCCAGGGAACGGGAGGAAAAGCAGCTGCACTGGCTGGGCACAGCCAGGGAGGGCTGCAGCCAGGGGCTTCGCGGCAGGGCCAGAGTCCCCCTGCAGCAGTGCTGCCATGTCCCTACGCAACCAGCATTGGGAAATTATTTATTTTTCATTTTGTGCTTCACTTTCTTGACAATAGCCAGAAACAAGTGGGAAATATATATTTAAGGACAAGCTTTTTAAAAACCATATGGGATTTCTGCCTTTCAGTTCTAGATACGGGCTGCCAATCAAAGCAGAAGTAAAAATTATCCTGAAATGAACAGTCATGCACAGATCTTTTTCCAGAAGGAATAATTTTAGCAGGATCTATATATGCACTAGTTCTGCATATGAAATGTAATATTCCAGCTAATTTGAAGCAATCTGTAATGAATTTTAAAACATACTGAAAGGGGGGCAAAGCAGCTACAAGCTTTTTTTTCCATCAGACCTCAGCTGTTAGGATGGTGCCTTCCCAAGTCAAAGCTCAGCCACTCACAGAGCACAGCCAGGTACACCTAGAGAGAACAGTTATATTAGGTAAATTATAACACACCATTGCATAGCCTTGTCTGTCACTAGAACTATTTTTAGTCAGCGCTAATTGCGTTCACATATGCCATGTCCAAACATTTTAACCACATTGAGTCATTTCAGTGTAGTGCTCCATTTTATTCACCTCTTCATCAGCGCAATCCTTGACGCTTGATCAGGGGTGAAAATGCACAGAGGAAAAAGGAGATGAGAACATGCAGCCCAGGGGAAAGGAAAAAAAAAAAAGTAAAACAGGGAGTCTGTATCATCCTTCGAAATGAATTTACCTCTCAAAAAAAAAAAAAGTCCTGATGAACTTGAGAAAAATCATTTTGATGAGAAGTTGCTCACTCCACTGAGCACAGGAAATTTATTTCACAAAGTAAGGACATGTGCAAGTTTGTGACCAAAACTGCGCAAAGCAGAGATAAGTAAAAATAGAAAAATTAGGTTTTGGGTTAAGGAATAGGTAGAATCTGAGGTGTTTTCA